GCCTCCGCCTCCGCCTCCGGAGACGAGATGCCGGTGAGCCAACGACAAGTGATAAGTCCGAACGATCATCTTCTTGTCGTACTCCTTTATAGGCTTCGGGCGCGGGAACCCGTTAAGGGGTTCGGATCCTGACCCGAACCGGTCGGAGATCGCGCCCGAGCTCGCGAGCCCGACCATCATTCTCACGTAGGCGTCGCGGATCCTGGCGAAGACCCGCTTCGGAGAGAACCGGATCCGAGAGAGGAGTTTGAGCCTGAGCGGTACCTTGACTCGCCAGAACTTTTTACTGTTTCTACCGCNTCGCCGCTGAGGCGGTTGTAGGAGCGGCGTTTCCAGTAGCCCTTCCGGCCTCCGCTGTAGTTTTCCATTTTTATTTTTATTTTTATTTTTTTTTAAAAATTCTTCGGGTTTTGTTTTTGGGATTAACGGAGAGAGGTTTCATTAGGGAGAGGAGGAACGAGAATTGCGCGAGGGAAACGAGGGAAGCGGCCAGTTCACGGGTGAATCTGAGCCGTCGATTTGTTAGATGGGAAGGAGGGCAGGGTACCAAATATGGGGCTAAATAGCACTTAGGTACCATATTGTTTTATCTGCTTGTTGATATGGATATGGTTACTCAAATTTATAACTGATAGGATATAGTTACAGATATGATTTTGTAGCAAAATATCTGTATCCAAAATATTCAAAAACATATTAGCCATAGTGTTACGATAGTTTTAATCCTTAAATTATAGATTTGAGGTTAATTTTGATGATCAATATGTTTAATCTTAGCTTTTTAAATATAATGAACTCTTTTATATCATATGAACTGTATTTTTTTAATACTATCTGGGTTCTCATATTCGATTGGTATCCGCATGTATTTTCGCTTATATATTCGCATGTATATACATATTTGTTTCTGATTTTAGCGGATATGGATATGGATTTTCCTCATCGATGTATACCTATATCCGTATCTGAGATGGGAAAGCGAATATAGATATGTGAAGTATCATATCCGAGCCGTATCCGGACCGAATGCATCCCTACTTATATCCTCTCATATGTATTTTGTAGTACTTAAATACCCTAAAGTTTTTAAATCTGACAATTAAATACCCTAAAATATTTAAAAATTGCACATAAATACCCGTAGTTTTGCAAACTTGATGGTATTTAAGTGTAAGTTTTTAAAACTTTAGAGCATTTAAATGCCAGACTTATAAACTTTAAGGTATTTAACTCCCACTAAAAAAGGCAAGGGTATATAAATACAAGTTGAGGTATATAAGTGAGGAGTATGTGAAACAATAGGGTATATAAATGCTATTTAGCCTGAATATGGTGGTGGTTGTTTGTTGTGTTGTTTGATTGTGAACATTTTTAAAAGAAAATTTTGAAAATATAAGTTACCTTGCAATATAATTTTGCAATATCAGGAGAATGGAGAAAGATCTTGCTGACTCTAGCTTAAAAAAACAATTTGCATGAATTTTCCTTCAATTATATTTTCCAACTTGAGATGCATATTGCTGCGAGCAACTTGGACTGCTAGAAAGCTTATATATTGATATTGGCACCTTATAATTGGAATCCTGATGATGGAGTATCTAAGTATCTTCATGGTTGTTATATTTGCAATTTGTGAAAAATTAGTTCTTTAATTTGCATTAGAGCTATTAATCTAATTACCAATTGGTCGGTCAAATATAAGTTGAAAAATAAATTATCCTAGTTGAGGAAACAAAACCCATAATGACTTTTAGACAAATGCAATTTTGACAGACCTCTTAATCAGATCCAGTGAAGCTTGTCGTAATATTTGTATGGCCTGTTTTATTTTGAAAAATAAAATATTTTATCACCTCAAAATTAGGTCTCAATTTGGTATGTAATTTAGCTAATTCATGATGTGTGTTCTAAATTAATAGTTTATTTCCTAAGTGCATGCTGATGTACTCATCAAGTTTTAATGTTTATAATTGCTTTTTTTTTTTACAAATAAAAATGAGTTCGTTGATTCACCATTGATGATCCAGATGGTTGGGATATTCGAATATGACTCTTATGATCTTGAGTTTGATTCCTTACTTGAGTTGTTAAAAAGAAAAGGGAAAAATGTGTCCAGGCCCCAAAAGTGGGAACTTCGTGTGACTAGCCCCCCTGTACTTTGCCCCATGTGGAATAGCCCCAAATACGCGTAGTATTTGCGACGAGGTCCCGAATTGACTTTTTTTCAGAAAAAGCCAGAGGAAGTTACGATCTTGCCCTCTGATGGGACTGAGCTGGGTTAATGTGCCGCCATCAAAAACTCTTCATCTTCCTAATTTCTGTACGAATTTCAACGTTTCTAGGGTTTTCGCCGGAAAAATGTCGTCTACGGAAGAATCCAGTAACGACTACGAGGTCGGGCACCGAGCCGAGTTGGAAGGAAAAGGCGCTTCATCTGCGGGTGGCAGCACGGAGGAAGCTACGCAAACCCTAATCGAAATGCAAAAGGAGGCAATACAATGGCGAGCCCAGAAAAGGAGGACGGCAATGGCTGGTCGTACCAACAAACCTGGTCGTACCAACGAACCCCCCTCAAAAAAACAGTAAGTGTTATGTTATACTGCGAACAGACAATGCAGATTAACCCAATATTGTTAGTTTTAGGCTTATGTTATACTGCGAAGAGACAATGTGATTAACCCAATATTGTTAGTTCTAGGCTTTGTCCAATGTTAGTTCTAAATTTATACCAACGTTAGATCTTTGTCCAATGTTAGTTCTAAATTTATACCAACGTTAGATCTAGTTTAAGTCCAATGTTAGTTCTAATATGAGTCCAATGTTAGTTCTATAATATTACGTGTTAGCTCTATTTTGTTCCCATTAGTGCTAGGTCTAATGTTGTTTCATATGTCTTATTGAACTTACAAATTCAAAATTTTTTTGCAGGAAAAAAATTGCTCTAACAGGCTCAGCAGAAACACTAAGGTTAACGGCCAATATCGGGGCTTATTGGGCATTTATGAAGCGCCTTGCCCCGAAGATCCGTCAGTGGCATAGGGATGCATACTGCGGTTCTATATTTCAGCACTACATTTTGTTTGGGGCTCCTGCGCCTGATCGGCCCACCCTTGAGCTGCTGCTGAGGTTTTTCGATAGAGATAATAACACCTTTTGTATACCTGATTCAAAAAGTGGGGGTATGAAAAATGTTAGTTTTGATTTGCAATGGGTCCACAACCATACTTATTTCCCAATTTATGGGGAGGACATAAGGAACAATAGGGACTCAAGAAGCAGAATATGGCTGGAATACTTCGCTAAGCTTTTCATTTCTGAAGAGGGTAAGAAGTTAAAAAAAATCAGAAACCAGCCAACGTAAACATCTTGAAGGGCTACTTGAACGGCTTGTTGAATCTACCAAAAAGCGGGATATCGAGGATTTTGCTTTGCTACAAATTTTGTATCAATGCTCTATGATATGGAGTCCCATAGCAAGGGAATGTATCCCTAGACCCTTACTCAGGTACCTGGATAGCATTCAGAGGGTCAATTCTGTTGCATGGGCCCCGTTCTTTTATAATGAAATTATCAGGGGCATTGGAGTTGCTTTGGAGGGAAAGAAGAAGCAAAAGGTCGCATATGTCCCAGGTTGCATGACACTATTGTGTGTAAGTTCCATATTTTACTGATCTTGTTTCATTCTAATTCGTACCTATGCATTGTTAGTTCTAACTTATTCTATGTTAGTTCTATTCTGTAGCGTGTTAGTTCTAATCTGCACAGTGTTAGTTCTATTCTGTAGAGTGTTAGTTCTAATCTGTACAGTGTTAGTTCCGTTCTGTAGAGTGTTAGTTCTAATCTGCAGATTAGAACTCACGCTACAGACAGATTAGAACTAACACTCTACAGAATAGAACTAACATTCTACAGAATAGAACTAACACTGTGCAGATTAGAACTAATACTCTACAGAATAGAACTAACACAGTGTTAGTTCTATTCTGTAGAGTGTTAGTTCTATTATGCACAGTGTTAGTTCTATTCTGTAGAGTGTTAGTTCTAATCTGCACAGTGTTAGTTCTATTCTGCACAGTGTTACTTCTATTCTGTAGAGTGTTAGTTCTATCTGCACCCATTTAAGTTCTATCATAGGTCATGTTAGTTCTATCATAATTCATGTCGTACCACGTACTAATTTACACCATGTTAGTTCTAGATGCAGCCATATTTTATTCTCTTTAGTCTAGTCTAGTATTAAATGTTAATGGTAAATATATTATTTGGTACAGCTTTGGTACTACGAGATGACAGGCATAAAAAAATATGCCCTCTTAGACACCTCCAGACCTCCAATGACAAATTGGGCATTAGGGGAGGAGAGAATCGCATCTATGAGGATGCCGACAATTATTTCAAAGGCTAAGTCAGCGTCAATAACATTTGTCCATAGGCCTATTGCGGAGGTCGCTTCTCCTGGTCATGTTCATCCACTTCCCGCTGAACAAAGGGATGAAGTTCTTCAGCAAAAGCGTCAGGCAAAGAGGAAGACTTTGCAGGAAGCAAAAGCGTCAGGCAAAGAGGAAGGCTTTGCAGGAAGAAACTACTAAGAACTTCTCAATAGGTTACGTAAGTATCCTGTTATGTTAAGTCGTACTCATTTCACACTAACTGCAAAGAATATCCTAATTATGTTTAATCCTACTTAAAATTATAATCTTGTATCAATAACAGATCATGGCAAAGCATATTGACGTTGCTTTTGACGATGAAGAGGAGATCAATGTTCTTCCCATTGAGCAGCAACTCACATTTTGGAGAAATTCTGCTAAATTTCTCAAGCGACTTCTTGATGCTACAAAGCAGACCAAGAGCAATTATTGTAAAGAATTCATGATTGAGATCAACAGGCTTAACAGGATAATTGAAAAATGTGGAAGACATGATGAGGTTATAGACCCAGTGCTGCTTAAGTCAAATATCAAACAGAAAATTGCAAATGAAATTAGGAAGAAGCGACAGGGAGCTCAAGAGGAACAGAAGTCCAAAACAAGCAGTGTATATAAGGAAGAGCCCACCAGTCAAGAACATGTACATAAGATTGTTGAAGAGGATGTAAAGCATCTTGCTGACGATGAGGCAATAGAAGAGGAGCCAGTTACTTCTCCAGGGGAGGGGGTATATAGTAAGGTTGACCAGACTGTAGATACTAAGGTTGATGATAGTGTAAATAAGGAAGAGGAGCATATGCAACATATTGTAGATATGGAAGAGGAGCATATGGAACATATTGTAGATATGGAAGAGGAGCATATGGTAGATAAGGAAGAGGAGCATATGGAAGATATTGTAGATAATGAAGAGGAGCGTATGGTAGATAAGGAAGAGGAGTATATGGTAGACAAGGAAGAGGAGCATATGGAAAATGAAAATTTTATTGTAGATAACAAAGGTTTTGATGAGGATACTGTTGATGGTGTAGATAAGGAGGAAGATATTGTAGATAAAGGCAAGGAGAATGTAGATAAGTTGGAAGCACAGGAGGAAGAGGATCTTGTGAATATTGAACATAATGTGGACAAACTTGTAGATGTTCTAACGAGCAATGTGAAAGCAAAGCGTAGACCAAAGGCAAAAAGGGTAAGCAGGAGATCTAAATGTTGATTTCCTTGTATTTCTTAAAAAATTTATAGGAAAAGTTTTGAGAAGTCAAAAAGTACAAATTTTCTTGTTTTTTGAAGTTTGCTTGTTTGGTTCAAAACAAGAAAATGTGCTACACACTTTATAGAAATAGCAACTTTTCTTTTTCTTTTGTTTGGTTACATATGTCAAATTTATAGAAAATTGTTAACTACCATATTTATTATTTTAGTAATGGCTAGTTTAATGTCTAGTTCCTAACAACATAGAGCTAAACAAGCTTGATTGAGCCATGAAACCAAAATAATAGCCAAAACAACCCGACAACAAGCAAAAATATCAATCACATAGCCAACAATAGAGAGCTAAACAAGCTCGAATCAGCATAATAACCACAAAACAGCATCCGTCGTTCGACAACAAAACCAATGACCACCATATATCCAACAATAGAGAGCTAAACTAGCTCGAATCTGCATATTAACTGAAAAAACAGCTTTAGGAGCTCGACTACAAGCCCAAGTACTCACCAAATTCCCAACAATAAAGAGCTAAACAAGCTCGAATCAGCATAACAACCAAAAAACAGCCTTCATATCTCGACAACAAGCCCAAATGAGCACAAAATACCCGAGAATAGAGAGCTAAACAAGCTCGAATCAGCATACCAACTGAAAAAGTAGCCTCCAAAACTCGACAACAAGCCCAAATTGTTAGATCTACATCATAAAACTTGAGATCTAAAACCATATAGCCATGATTAATTCAAAGAGATTAACAAGGATCTAAAAGAGCGGAAGCTTATACCTGAATCCATTGCTTGATCTTGATTTTGGGTGTTGGATCTTCTAACCTTAGGGTTCTCTCTAAAACCGAATTTCTCTAGCTAGATGGGGGTGTAGAGAATTAGAGAATGTAACCCTAGGTTAGGGACCATAACCCCTTATTTATAGATGTTGTACTTTTGTAATTTAGCCCCTCAATAAATTACAATTACAACCTGGTATCTGCACATATAACCCCATGATTATAATCACCCCCCTCTAGGGTCTAACAGATTGATCACTTTAGTGGGTTATCCTGAAAGATAACAAAACACATTGATTAATCATATGTGCCCACAAATAGATTTATTAGATTAAATCCAACAATCTCCCACTTGGGCACCATATGATTCCTTAAATTGTGTATAACCTTATGAGCTCAAAAATTGCTATCACTGAAAAGGTATTTCCGAACAATCTCGTCCATTGACTATATCAATATAGGATCAAAGCGGCCTTCGTCACATTTATCGTGACTCGACCCATCAATGGTCACATATACCAATACAATCAAACGACATAGATCAATCATGGATGTGCAGCATGAAAATTACATGCAATGTGATTAGTACATGTCTATTTTCAACTGGTCCTCCTTTAGTGAGGTCAAAACCAAACATAATGTAGCAGAGTATCTTAACTGAATACTTTATTCTGATCAGACAATACGACCAGACATAAAGCACCACAAATACAAACTCCCACTAAAACATAATATCCTCAAATAATACCACACCCATATGAGCAGTATGCTCATGAAAGACCTTGGGTGGCAATCCCTTAGTAAGATGATCAGCTATCATGGAGTTTGTCCCAATGTGCTCTATGGATATCTCTCCACTCTGTACCCTTTCTTTCACAACCAGGAACTTAATGTCAATATGTTTTGACTTAGTTGAGCTCATGTTGTTATTAGAATACATTACTGCAAATTTATTGTCACAATATAACTTTAGTGGTCTTTCAACATTTTCCTAAAATCACATCATTCCCTAATATTTTTTTACGATCCGCTAGGTTGAACTTAATCTATACGTTCTTAAACTCAAACACACCAATTTTGGGATGAACCCGTCGTGTTTTGACCATTCGTTGAGTCGTCCAAAAAGTTCTATTCATTCGAAACCGTTAAAATTACGGCGAGTGAATGAAGGGTCAAAACACGACGGGTTCACCCCAAAATTGGTGTGTTTAGGTTTAAGAACGTGTAAATCAAGTTTAACAGAGCGGATCACAAAAAAAATAGGGAATGATGTGATTTTAGGCCGCGTCCTTAGGTGGGGAGCCTAGGGTGTCACCTTAGATTCACTTTTCCCTATATATATATATGTTTATGTATAATATAATTTTTTTATGTAATTACTATAAGTATTTACAATTTGTTTATGTATAATATATGTATATGTGTGTGTATATATATATATACATATACATATAATGAATGACATGAATACTTTGGACTACTTAGTCTATTGGTAAAATTTAGGAGTTTGGAGAGTAGGTTAGTGGTTCAAATCCTAGCCACAACATATATATTTAAGAGGTCTTTGATTTGGCCTTTAAATTCTATAATTATTTTTAATTTTATTTATTTCTATAAATTTTATAATTATTTTAATTTCTATAATTTTTTATATTTATAAATTACATAATTACAATTGATTTATAATATAATTTTTTTATCAAAATTGTGTTTATTTTTTGAATTGTATTCTTCAAATTTTAAAAAAATTAAAAAATTTTAAATAATAAAAAAATCGGGCCGGCCTGGGGCAACCGGGCCTGGGTCCGGGCTCCGGTTTTGCCCGGCCTGGGCCCAGTTTTCCGGGCTGGGCCGGGCCGAATGGATAGTCCTACTCTAGAGTAATCAATAGAGAAAAACATGAATCATTGGAATCATCACCTCTCGCGATGTTCACCTCATTGGCCTTCGGGTTTTTCTTCTTGCTATTCTCATTCTGCTTGAGCTTCGGACAATCTCTCTTTCAATGTCCTTATTCCTTACAGAATGCACACTGGTTCTTCACTAACTGATGGTGGCCCCTTGATTTTGACATGTTCCTATTACCACCTCTCGAATATGGACTTCTTCCTCTCGTCGACAAGACCTCTCCTAAAGTGCTAGCGTGGGAAGTCTTGTTATCCTTCCTTCTCAAATCGTAGTTCATCAATGTGTTAGTCACTTCACTGTAGGTGATGAAAGATCTACCGTTCAACAAAGTGAGCACGAAGGTATCATACTCCTCATCGGGTAAGGAGCCTAACAAAATAATCGCCATGTACACGTCTATTATCTTCTTATCCATGTTCTCCAAGTCCGACAATAACTTTGTATAGTTGTTCACATGAGCCGCTAGTGAGATGCCCCTGGACATCTGGAATCTCAATAATTTTCACAACAAGTGCAACCATTCTCAACACTCTTCGTAAGGTACTTGCTGTTAAGAATCTCTCACATATTCATCGCAAACGTCACCGTAAGCACATTGTATTTTAGCTATTATTCCAAATAAGACCTGATCACCCTACAAGCGTTCCTATTCATCTTATCCCATATCGCCTCATCATATTTCGGTGGCCTCTCATGGACCATAATAGTCTCTTCCAAATTTTGAGCATTAAGAGCGTCTTGTATACGTTGCTCATCCACAAACCAAAATTGTTTTTGTCATCATACTTTACCATACAAATCTTAGTGTTTTGAAATCCAACCTGAACTGTACTCGGCATCATCCTGCTGCTTTCACCAACTTTTTCTCTTATTGAAAACCACTCCAAATTATAAAGAAAGATTCAAACTTTGACAAAAATTGAGAAATTACCCAACTGAACCCTAGATAGGATTCCAACATGATCTCTTGACCATACGAGGAAAGCGAGATCTCCAACGGTAACTCCACAACGCTATCACCAACGGAGCTTTGAACTCCAAGAATCAAGCTTCCACAATGAATCTTCCTCTACCCAATGCCAAAATCCTAGATCTCAAATCTGGAGCTCTGATACCAATTATTGTGCGCTGTGTGGAAGCGTGTTCGACAACCAAACAAGTTGGCGTACGATGAGAGAAGAGAACCAAATTAAAACACGAGTGCAATCCACCACAATACAACACAAATCAAACTAAACACAGAGATTTACGGGGTTTGGCAGTGGCTTACATCCACGGGGAGAGGATGGGAAGATTTTACTATATGGAGGAGAAATACAATGGGTTACAACTCGCAAAATCACTCAAATATAATCCTAACCAAACCTCTCAACTCCCTCACAATATCTCCCTCTCAAAGTGCTCAAAAGTCTCTCCTTCGTCTCAAGTTATTTCTAATTTATACCAAGTTAGTTCTATTTTATACCACGTTATAAACCTAATTTATACCACGATATAAACCTAATTTATACCACGTTAGATCTAATTTATACGAAGTTAGTTCTATTTTTTACTACGTTATAAACCTAATTTATACCACGTTAGATCTAATTTATACCACGTTGCGGTCGACCGGACATGTGCTCACAGTCGACGGGCTAGAAACAAGATTCAAACTCTGTAATCGTGTACATTATTGGTCAACCAGACTCATGCCATCGATCGACCGGCCAAAAGCAGGGTTTTCGACCCTGTAATTTTGCACGAACTCGGTCGACCGGCCTATGCCTTTCGGTCGACCGACCTGCAACCAAACTGTATATGCTGATTTTCACGTTTTCCCTAATTCTTTTGCCGTTTTCAACATGAACTTCATTGAAGGTACATTTTGAGTCAAGTATTTGAACTTCAATGAATTTCATTAAACGTACACTTTCTTCTAGATCTCTTACTTCTCATGATTGCAATATTTTAATTGAAAAAATCATTTATAGATCTCTTACTTCTCATGATTGTAATATTTTAATTGAAAAAATCATTTAAAAAGCTAATTTCTGGACCTCTAAACTCCTCTCATATGCTGGTAGACTGGTCCTAATCAAATCAGTTATCTTTAATATGCATAATTACTAGAGAGGCGTTTTTGTTCTACTAAAAAAAGTCATCAAACTATTGAAAAAGGATGTATAGAGTATTTATGGTTAGGTAAACTGAACAAACACTCAAAATTTAAAGTGGCTGGGTCCACTGTAAGCTCTCCTAAGATGTGTTGTGTATTTGTCTAGGCCTTCACAACCTGGATTTGTTTAACAAGGTTTTGATGATTAAAA